AAACAATAGAAAAAAAATATTGAAGAAAAAAAAAGGGGGGGGGGGGGTAGACAGAAAAGAGAAATACACAGTATGTACTGATGATGGTGTTGACCCTGAAAATGTTGGATAAAATGAACAATGCCAGCAAGATGTTCAACATTTACAACCCAAGTAAGAGCCGAGTATTGCTCATACTTTGTTGTGCACACATCAGTAGCCTGAACCACATGAATAACGCTGAACAGTTCAACATAGACAGTGTAAATCTAGTGCAATGGACCGAGTCCCTTCTTTTTGAACATGTGCATGAAGGAATTTATCACTAAGTGATTATCTTGTTTCAAGAATTAAAAACAAACCAAAATAGAAAGCAGTATAATACTCAAATCTAAAATCATATTTGTTAAATAGTTCATTAAATCAAAAAGAAAACGCCACCAAACAAGCAAACAACACAATAGGTTAAGAGACAAGCGGCCAGTGGGAGATAAACAGATCATTCAAAGACTTAAATGTTACTCCATTATATATAAGGACTTGACATTTTTCCTCTAGCGGTAATGATGAGCAGATGCCACACCAATAACAGATTGTAGTCAAAAATCTTTTGACTGTAAATGTGTGCGTCACAGTGCATCAAGAAGACTCCCAACAGGCACACAAAGGGGGATGGCAAAGAAACAAAGGGGAAGCTAGGGGTTTAGATCTGTGGTGTTATAGGTGTGTCTTAGTCTAAGAAAAAGAGGTATAAAGATAAGCAGAGGTCACTTCAAGGTTAAAGAAATGCCTATTCAAGAGGTTACAAACTATCACACCAGACATAACATACCCGGGCTTTCAGGGGAATCTGGACAAAGACAAAACACATCAAAATCAAAGGAACAGAACATTTTCTATGGCAGCTATTCCACATGGTGTGGAGCTATTGAGTTAGTTTATCATGCTTTACCTGTTTTGTTTTTTTATATTGTTTTGTTTTTCTCTCAGCTAAAGCGAAAATCCAGCATAAACAGAATTCATTATAGAATTTGAATTTGCTCATCTCTGCAAAAACAACCTGCACAAGACCATGAAAATAATCTGAACCCTGTTTCTGAGTGGATTTTCTGACTCGAGAGAAATTTATTTATTTCATTTATCCTCAATATTCTCCTTTAAATAGTGCCATATATGTTTGCCAATCCAAAAGGAGGAAAGTCAGGCTACAAAAAAGCAATTCTACAAACCTGCTTGCTCCACTTCCTCCTCAATATCAAAATTAAAATATTCTTTTTACCCCAAAACGAATTAGAAAAAGAAAAGAAAGGCAGAGAAGGAAAGTAAATTAATCAGTCAATAATATAAAAAAAACTTAAATTGAATTAGAATAGCATGTAATTTAAAGCATCCAAAAGTGTATAATTGAGTAAATGAAGCCAGTGATGAACAAAAAAATGTATCAAAATCATTATTTTCCCCACGATTCCTATTTTTGTTTTTTCATATCCCCACAAAATATATTATGATTTTTTTTAATCACCGCTGAAACCACGCTGAACAGATAAGTATACTGAACAACTGTAAGTGTTCACATTAGCCACCTACCTTTTAGGCTGGGGAACGGTGTTGATTTCTCCCTTGCTGCCTTATTAGGAAGGGCAAGATTGGACAAGCTGAAACTTGTGCCGTGGTTCTTGTAGAGATTGCCTGTAAAAGGAGTGATGAGGAAAATCAAATACTGCTTTGTGTTTGAATTCCTCCTCCAACATGTTTATATCTGTGTTTATGCAGACCCATATCATACGCATATACAGTACACACATTAAATATACTGTCTTTGGCTGTGAAAGGCTATGGAGGCTTAAAAACAAGATGAAATGATGATGTAATAGCAAAGGCTGTGACATACCCTGCCTTCTTCAAAATGTTTGTATAACTTTTTATGACATATATAAATGCCATATCTCAATATCAATACTATAGCGACACCATATGTTTACATTCCCTACTGAGCACAACAACAACACAAGCAGTGTGTTGGTTGTGATGGATAAGCGGTTTTATTTTTAGGTCCAGGGAAAATGGTGCAAACGCTACTTTTGTGCTTACATTTGACTTCTGCTGTATATAATGCTGTCACTATTATTGCACTATAATGCTGCTGCTAATAGAAGTTTTTTCCCCTATATTGACATAAACATCAAAAATGTCCTTGAAATGTAATGATTTAATTTTGAGACTATATTGCAAAAACTGTTTAACATAGCTGACTCTTATCATTAAGTTTGGTAAAACATGTTTACTCTCAAAACAAGCCTTTGGTAAAACGAGGAGGAACTTAAAAAGTAAAACCAAAAGCAAATATGTAAATAAAGTATGTCACATAATAACAGATTTCATATAGAAACAAATCTCCTAATGCAACTCATCTCATCAACCTTATCTGGTCTTTCTGGCACTGCTGGCAACATGTTCTTCATCTTAGCATACAGTTGCTTTTTCTCCATATTCAGATCAATCACATTATATTGCCTCAGGTTAGCCGACAATACAATAATATTAAAATGTTCTTACTGGCGAAGGACATGAGTCCTCCAAATCCATCGTTGCTGTTGTTGGAAATGGTGGAGTTTGGTGAACTGTTACGTGAGTCTCCCTCCCCATCGGACTCTCCTGGGAGCCTCAGGCTACTGGGGCGTAAAGGACGCTGTGCCCTAAGGAAATAAAATGGTGAAAAGACATTACAGTGCATCCTTGACACGGGGAAAATATGCATACACCACTGGCAACCCTCCAGCATTCACACTGTATAACATAACACCACCAAAGATTCAAGACCATGAATGAAGAGAGTATTCTGACATGCCAGGTTTGGAAAGAGATCATTGCATGGTCAGAGAGCCCATTTGAATGAAGATAATGCATTCATTCAAGCGATGAACAAGCTTAACACACTTGTTGCCATTGAGGTTCTGGTTGAATCGAGGGGTGTATGATTCCACTTGCTCTTCTGCATCAGGGTCATCCTCTGAGGGGAAGCCATACTGAGGCTCAAAGTATGGGTTGTCATACTCTTGCTTTTTGTTGGCTTGCTCCACCAGACCAGCATCAGCTGCAGGTCTGAGGAACGGCTGATTGGCCAATCCCGGCACAGGGTTCTGTAAAGCAGCGCTTGCTGATGCCTCAATTTCAGGTACTTCCCCTTGCTCCTAAAAAAAACACATGAAAACACATATGAAGGGAATTCTGTAAATGTTCGTCAATGTGCACAACTATCATGCTGAAAAAGATGCACACTCAACAGATAAAGACAGTTTGCACACTTATATAAACAAAAGGAGATTTAGTTCATCCAAAAATAAAGAAAAGAAGGTTAAAGAGGACCAGTTTACACAAGTCTATTTAATCTTGAAATGAATTAGAAAGATCACATACATGGTTGACCCCCTGGATGATTGTGCTGGGGCTTGAGCTTGCAGTTGTGCTAGAGCTTGAGCGAAGAGGCTGTCCATCAGAAGGCTCAGCAGGTCCGTCCCCACTGGGTGGGCCTTCAGGGCCATGCCCTTCCCTGAAGTCATGGTAGTCTTGAAACTCAACCTCACTAGCATCTCCCAGTGCTGCATGGGTAGGCGGGTCCAAGCCTGAGACAAAAAAGTTAAATATTACAACAGAGGAAATGCTATGAATGTGGTCAAAGTGGATCATTGGGCAAGATAACCACATACTTGGTGTGTCTCCCTGGATGTCACCTTGAATCATCTCACTCACTAGGTCTCCAAGTGAGGAATAGGATGAGCTGGAGTCGTCGTAAGCCTCACTGTCACTGCCGCTGCAACAAATTGAATTTATCACAACCGACAGCAATCAAAGTCAAAATATGCTAGTATATGGCAGAATTAAGCAAAAACCCAGATAGTAGACTGAACTGGATTAAACAGAAAGATCTTGGTTTAATCCTACCTGTCTGTGGGGTCAGACTCATTGCCTTCATCCTCCAGCGGGCCAGCCATAGCCTCAACCAGTTGGGAGCTTCCATCATATACTCTGTAGACCACTGGCTGCAGCTGATGTGCATACCACTTGGGCTTGTCTCCAATTAAGGAGGGGTCAAACACATCTAAAGAGAGATATTCAACCGAGTTCAACACAAATTCTGTAATGCATACTCACATAAAAGACAACCTATTATGATCTTTAATGAGTCTTACTGTTATGGATTCTCTGAAAGGCAAGGTTTGTGGGATTGAGAGCCCACTCCCCATAGAACTCTACGGCCTGGGTGTGCGAAAGCTTGTCTGCAAAGGTAGAGCGTCTTGGCCGAGATGCAAGAAAAGACGTCGACTGAAAAGCAACCACTGGCCGCGGAAAGAGGCGCAAAGTGCGAGTGTGCATCTGGAACCCCTGAAGAACATTTGGAGAGTTGAAAAACCGTACCATGGCCACCCTGCAAGACAAAGAAGTTTTAATTAATTTTTTTATATAATTTTATTTATTAAGACTAGTGTGACTTCCGTGTTAACGGAAGCTCAGACAGATGCTGATAAACCCTGACAGTTCAATGCTTGCCTGGTAGCTACATCCACAGAATCGACATCATTGCCATAAATTAGAGGGTTGAATTCGGTGGATGATGGCGAAGCTTTATCTCGTCCAGGTGGGAGCAGGGGCATCTCCTGACCTTCCTGAAACTTCTCCAGGTTGAGAATTGGCTGGGTGTTCAAACTCATGCTGGTCAAAGCCTAGAACAGGTACCGGTGACATTAATTACAAACACAGCAGTGGCTCTGAATACAAAAACACTGCATTGTGATAGACCACACCCACATTTGGCATCAACATTTAGTTGGAATATAAATTTCTTTACTTAAATTGGACAGACTGGCAGGCAGAATTGAAACAAAAGGGGATTTGATTGGAGAACCAATGGCTCTTATAGGTAGCAATTCTGCTGCTTAGCACTGTGCTAATATTAGGTTATATACCAGAGTCCCACCCCATTACATTACTTAAAGCAGCTAAAGTATGAGGTTTCCATATGTTGATGCCTGCAGTGGGTGTGTCACTTTGGAGTAGGAGGAGCAGAGGAGGGAGTAAGTTTGCTTGGAGGGGACTGCTGCAGACTCAAGAGTCAATGTTTAGCTTAGCATAATGGAACATTTAGTTGCTGCGTCTGGATGAATGTTAACTTTGTCAAAGTGATCAGCTTCATCATACAGGATCGTGTTTTCGTTACGAGAATACTCACTGATGCCAAGATTAGATGCACGCACATTCAGTCATGCTCAAGCCAGAGCTAAGCAGTGTATCAAAACACTGGTTTGCAACATTCTGTGACGCTGTTATGCATTTTTGGTCTTGAAAATAGGAAACAAGTAGAAGTGACAAGCAAAATAATGTGAGACAGAGAAGATATCCGTGCAGGGGGCATGACACATTCCACAGGAGGAGAAATAAGTAACCTTATTCTCAGAGGAGAAGATCTGCTTTTGGGTGATCACGGTCAACCTAACCAGACACTAGGAAGGGGATAAGAGAGATGCGAGGAGAATCACATGAAGGCCTGGGATGACAACTTTGTGACTGACACTGGAACAGCACATGACGGAAGGGTCACCACCGTAGCCCTTTCCCTCTTCTTTTCTTTGTCTCCTTTCAACAGCAGTTCCCTATTTATTAGATTTTTTTTGCTGACAGGAAATAAAAATATTTGTAATTTAAACAGATCTAAAATCACGAGGGAAAAGGTTCCTCTTGATTTTTTTTGTGCAACGACAAACAGGCTTTGCTCTTTTATCATTTCCATTTTCAATTCTACTTTTTACTGAAGAAAGGAGATAAGAAAATATTCATTTGTGCCCGTTTTGAAAAAGTGATGAACAGCCTGGAGAGTAAAACTGAGTGACAGTGACATGTGACAAAGTCAGAGCAAGAGAGACAGAGAAAGATGAAAAATGGAAATGCTTTTGTGTTTGATGTGAGAGACAAACAGAAAAACAAAAACAGAGGAAAAACAATAACACGACCAAATAATAGAGTTCACCTACAAAATCCAGCCACTACAAGATACATGAAGGACATCCATGGTGACCAGCTGGGACAAACCAGTGGTTACAATGGAGTGGTGATGACACACAGAAAACTGCAGATCTTTTCACAAATAAATAAAATACTTGCACGATAAAGCACCTGTAGCAAAATGTAAGCAGTATATAAACTTCAAGTCCTTAAGAAAAGTCAGGTAAGTTGTAATAATACAACCAGCCTTGCAAAAGTACACAAAAAAATTATTGGCTGTTATAACCAGTTTATCTCAGTAATTCAACGGTCAAGTGCAAGTATTTTCAGAGACTGTAGCATCAGTAGCACTCAGCTATGGCATCAAAGTCTTCAGATAATCACTCCAACCATATTCAGTGACATTTTCTCCACTGCTCATATTAACACTGTGAACTTGTTTCCGGATATACAACAGCTTTACTGAGCCTTGCACACTCCTACAAGTACACACAAGCAGCTCGGTCACACGCCTGCACACAGGGAAAGGGATGCTAACCACACACAGCTAACAGACTGGCTCTGATTCAAGGTAGAATGAACTAAATGAGTGTGCAAAGACTTTAACTGGATCTTTGAAAAAGCTGTGGTCTGTGTTTGCTTCATGAATGCAAGGGTGACACAACAGTTCTGATGAACACCATCATATTTAAAATGAAATATAAACATCAGATTACAGACTGCAGATTGCCTACAGACTCAAATTTATTAATTTAAATTTAAAAAAGGTTATTTTGCACAAATATTATTATTATTATTATTATTATTATTATTATTGGTTTCATTTTCAATGACTTTAATGATTATGATCTGATATTGCCTACAAAACAACTTCATTATTCGATTAAATGGGATTATGGGATTTATTGCTGTTCATACCTCATATTAAACATACGATTACAAAGTGAACAATAGTAGGTAGTCAGTATCTTTTGTAAATAAATATCTTTTGGAATATTAATAGTGTAGCTGTTCAACTAGGAGAGATAAAAAGTAAAGTCAAAATGTAATAACATAAATTAGAAAATAAGGATGTATGGTATTCTGAATATCAGCAGCTAATGCCATCTAAGAATTAGCCATAGCAAACATTTCCTGGCTAAAGAGCACACTAAGTAAACACATATTGGTAGCTTAAATATTTTCAATTATTTTAAATAAATACATTTAATTACATTAAAGATGTGAGCGGATTTTGTGACATGTGCTGTATTTCCATGAATCAGAACCAGATTCTGATGTTAGATAATCAGGTTAGAGGCCAAGTTAGCTGCTACCAGTAATACTAAGTATTTATGTTGGGTAGCAGCGACCTAGCATCGGATTTTACCTCCAAAAGCTAGAGCATGCACAGAAAATAGAGGGAAAAAGAACAATTTGTTTATGTTAGTGCACTACAAAACCAGTTTCAAATGCCCCCACACTCATCTACAGTACATACAACTTTGATGAAGAAGGAAGCCCCTACTCTTCACATTGCTGAAAGACAAGTTTTACATTCAATGGGATTAACTAGCAATCATGGGATTAAACTTTAACGGTCCAGAGAAGTACCCGGGTTCCAGAAATTTCTCTGTGAAATGCTCATTTGTATGCTAGGAGTCTCACTGTATTTGGGGCAAATATATGGCTGCCACAGTTGAGCAGAATCAGACAAATTTATAGTCATAACAATTTAAGAGGAATCAAAACAAATCGCATACATTACCTGTTTTAGATGTTTCTTAAGCTCGCCTGCTTCAGGCTCTGGAAGAGGTGGTAGAAGCTCTGCATTGGTAGGTGCTATAACCTGAAGGCAAACATAGCAGTCTTAATTTTTGCAATGTATTTGAGCTTTTTAAAAACAAAATTAATTTTTTTTTGAAAGTCAATAAACATTAGGTAAATGAACCACAATATAATAAAATAGAAAATCCAAGATGAGAAGGAGCTCTTGTTATACAGACCTTGCTGCTGTCAAGGTCAACAAGCCAAATATCGTCTGGCATTTTGAAGTCGGATTTGTAGAGGAAGAAGCTGGCGGGTACACCTATAATGTAGGGAGTAGGAGCAAGAAGGAGCTGCCAAAGGAAGAAAAATGTTCATTTAGGCAAAACTGTTATTAAGTGAAAAGACACTTCTTTTTTTTTTTTTTTTAAATGTACACATATACAGAGAAATGACTTATTTATTTAACATGTATCTGTTACAAATACTAAGTTTCACCTGTTCAGCAGAGGCCATACATGTTGGCAGTAAGGGAATGACTGGGAACATGTACTCCAGTGGGTAAATCATGGCCACAAAGGCCATGACGCTCATAGACAAAGCATTATAATCTCGGGACTGAAGAATGACCTGGGAAAAAAACAAAAACAAAAACACACAACATGCAGAAGATTAATAAAGTGAGCGTTACAATGCAACAAATTTTGTATTTAGTTGGTTCTCACCACCCTGATACGTTTCCACCACTTGACGGTTTTTGGTGTATGATTTGACTCTGATTTTGAAGCCATGTTCCATTTTTTGTTCAGAATTTAAAGCCATTTAAAGGCCCAAGAGGAAGGACACCTGTGCCTGTCCTTACTTTGTGCTCTAGCAGGACACAGCTGAGGACCTGAAGACAGGCATCCACACCCAACAGCTCTAAGGGCAGGTGCAGCGGGAAATCGACCATGGAGAAGCGAGAGCTGTCAGGTAGGGCAAAGGTGAGTGGCCTTTTGAGCTCATGGGGCAGCACTTCCACATCCACACGTCTCTGACCCGCCACTGGCACTGGTGAACGCAGCAACCGGTACACCCAGGATTCGATCTCCCGCAGGTCGGCCAGCAGCTGGCTGCCTTTCTCTTCCACCGACAACGCACCGGTAAACACACGCCACATGGTGTCCCTGGGAAGGACATTAATGTACATTTAAAGATTTTTTGATTTTTCAATGAAGTGTGCGTTGTGACACAACATTCAAGAAAAAGACTGAGACAAACATTAAAATGCATGAACTGATGGTATCTCACTTTTCAAGGGAGGAAAAACAATCTGTTTGGGCAGTAAGGAAAAATAATACTCTCAACGTTTAATGTAGTTTTGTTCAAAACTACATATTACGTGACAGTGTGTATACTTACTGAAAAGCTTAACAAATTTCTGTGACAAGCAGAGAACGCTAATACATATATTGATACATGTCCAGGGCAATTTTAAAGTTAAAAACAGAGTTGATGAAATCATCAGTTCATTTTATTACTGCAGACAGCCACAAAGAAACCTGAACAAATAACCAGTGAAATCACTAATGTGATGAGCAAATGAGACAAATGCACAAGAGGCTCTTAAGTAGTTGGCGCTATAGTAATATGAAAACCCACTACTCTACGCACGCAGTGCTACTACCCTTTCTAAAGTGCATACTTATGTGTGTGTGTGGCAAAGAGTGAGGGAGGTAAATCATTAGCCGTTTGGATCTCTCCCACCAACTGCAGCTGTTACCCACGGGCAGGCAGAGACCTCAATCTGTCAGAGCCGCCATAGCAGAAAATGCTCGCAGTCATTATGTGATGACTCTACTTCTTTGTCACTGCAACACCACATTTCAACCAACCATGTCAGGGGAAAAGAGAGATTCTCAGGTCTGTTCAGCCTTCGGCTTTTTGAGCTTGTCAGAGAAACCATAGTTCTATATTACTGATAAGTGGAGGCAGAGTGGCATTTTATCAAAGAAAAAAATGCCAAGGTATGAGCTTAACTAGGTGCTAGACGTTCCAACAGTGCCTTTTAAAGAAGACGGGAAAAGCTGCGCTAGTTTAACAGCTATAAATAACAATCATTCGATGAATAAGCTCTTGTGAAGTGACAGCCTAATTAGCACTTTGTCAATCAAAATTTGCAATCTATTAAGTCACCCATGGCAACAGAAAAACCCAAAGAGCACCGAAAAATACTGCCACATCACGCCACCGCATCAAATACAAGATACAGCTGTGAGTACTCTGCAGCTTAAATTAAAAATGAATTAATTAGCCTTCAAGCTTAATTAAGAAAATCAAAACATGATCAGCAATTTGTGTTAAGTCTAATAGGCAGAACAGAACGATAAATCCCCTTTTATCATATTATTGGATATATTGGGGGTATCCAATTGAGAGCTTTTTTTCTTTTCACTCTCTGGGTTATATTTTCACCTTGGCATGGATGATTGTGGCCAAAATGATTCCCATAATTATTTTGATCATTATTGCAATGACAATTATTCATTGATTCTGGTGACAAACATCTTTTAATTGCAGTCACTTAAACATAACACTCCTTCCACATCTATGTGCAACATTCATGCTATTCTACTAAAGTCTGCATCAAAATTAAACTGGTCCTCCATATCTGCCTAAATTCAGCACCTTTGAAGAAAAATCAACAAATATATATAAAAAACTTGTACCAAAACTTAACACAAATTAAATCAACAAAGTACTGTTCTCCCTTTTACTCTGTGCTGTATTATTAATAATTAAAATATCTTGTGAGCTGTGAGATCCATCTACATTCCCCTGATATCACTACTTTGGAAGAACAATTGTGTTTCCACTATGTTCACCCTTCTCCTGGAGTTTTTGTTACTCACTTGTGTTTTTTTGGCCACATGGAATGTGATTGCTGAGTTGATCATGGACAGTTCATGTTAACAACCACTGCATTGTTTTTCTTGGCATCCATTCATTAATTATACTGCATTTAGAGGTGTGTTTTCAGGCAGCTGAATAAGTTAGTTGTTTCTTTGCTATCTAGACTAGAACCCAACTAGAACAGGATTTAGGACAGAACAGGTACCAATAACAATATTTGGTGTAAAATTCCAATACATGAGTCAATACCTCTTGTCCTTCAGGCACAGGAAATGAACAGATTTCCCTAGCATTTCTTATGTATAGAGTCCTTACTAACACAACTTGATAACGCAGGAGCTACAAAACACATAAGCTACATTTTGAAATTTTCATTTATTGGCCTAACAATGGCCAATAATACTGGCCGGCCAATATACTGATCAAGGTTTAGTGCAGACCCAACTATACAGCACTCTTTGCATATGTATTTTTGGTTGACATGTATTTCCAAACAACAGCTGATGATCTGCCTAAAGAGAAAAAGGTCTTCACCTTCTTGTTCTTGATTTTCATTGCATATCTGTCTTAATATGCAGTGTTACTTGTCCAGACTAGTCCAGGAAACTTCAAGCTACACAGTGTAGGGAACAGCTGTGGTTGGCACATGCAGCCAGAGGGTCAAGAGCTGATTAAGGGGTCACTTCATTTGCTTTCACTTGGTGTTTAATATTGCCTGATTATGTTCATTTAACTGCGGGAAGCAAAAGACCATGAAGTCTGTACAGCCCTATTTTCACCTTTTTATACAACAGATAGACTTTGTGAAATATTTGCTGCTCTGAAAACTTTTTTATACAGTTTATTATAGTAATTTAGCAAACTGGGCAGTGTCATATTATTTGTTCAGTGTAGTGCACTCAAACTCAATTGTTTACCTTCCTCTCAGCATTGTCTGCAGGACATGAGGAAGAGTGCATGTCACACTTGAGCAGATGGTGGTGAAGTATGAAGTGGTGTCCTAACAATAAATTGCTTAGTAGTTTGTGAAAACAGTGACCCTTCATTTTCCCAAAAACCCACTATCTGTCAAGCTTGGGTTGACACAACAATCACACAAAATGATTCACTAGAATTATGTAACAATTGTTATTCTTCCTGAAATAATATTTAATGTAAAACAAACCACTCAAAACAAAGTTGATTTAAATGCACTGTGGATATTTTGTTTGGCATTATTTGTCATTGAGGTGGAGCTTAAAAGCATAAAGCATACTGTGAGAACAAGACACACGCCACAGATGGCCTGCAAAACTGCGCGGCACCACAGACAAAGGCTCCTGTATTAATTGTGAAATACAAACATACAGCTAACAGGTGGACAACGGAAGAAGCAGACGGGAGTAGAAACAAAGGAGTGGGCACTGCAGAAAACATCAGCAGGAACACTGACAAAACAAGTTTTCTCCAACCTTTCTAGCCTTTAGAATTGAATGTGAAATAATAAGCCGTGTGAATGGTTATTAATGTGCATCAAATGCACAGACATTATTTAAAAGCTTGCACAAGAAATTCAAGTGAGTTGAATTCAACTGAAACTGTGCTTTAAAAGAGAGCTAATTGCTCTTTTTACATGAACTACAGGTGGGTATGAACAGATGTATCATCTGCCAACTGCTGTCTCTGGAGACTGAAGTATGTTACAGTCAACAAAACAAAACTTTGAAGGGAATAAACAATGTACTGATTAATATGGATGCTAAAAGCCTTTAAAATGAATCCACTCTGGTCTCTGCTTATGAGATCTTGTCATCTAACTTGGTATTTGCCCCTAAGGCTGGCACAACAAGAATGGTCATACAAAAATAAGTGTTTAGTGGGTGTTTAATGTTTTCATGTGCTTAGCAATTACACAGCAATCATCAAGTGGATTCTGGTGTTTCTATACTACACAACTTATTTTGACAGGATGGGTTCTTGGCAAGGACCACCTTCAAAATAATCTGTGTGTTATTTATTTGGCTAACAAAGCTTTTAAAGAAAGATTAAGACTATAAAACTTGTTTGTGAGTGAAGAAGCGGGAAACTTGTATTCGCATTAGTGCATGAAATCTGAAACCTCACCTCTGGGTGGCACGAGGAAGCCCCGCCCGTTGTGTTAGCCTTTGACTGCAGCAGTCCACTAACCTCTTGAGAATATATAAGCATTCCCTAAAGGTGGAGAAGAAGGGGTAATGGCTGAGTATGCACAGAGAGGTCAGTGTGCTGTTGCGGTTCCTGGCTGCCACCTTAGCAGCACTCCGTTTGTGCTGCGGGGACTTGCCGGCATTTTGCTCAGCACCTTGCTGTCCACCCTCTTCTCCAGAAGCAGGCGGAGGTACTGACTCTGCATTCTTGGGTGGAGAAACCACACGGTGTGGAACTCCACCCCCACCACTATCAGACCCTTCGCTTGTGGTCTCTGTTGCCTGTTCTGCTGTCTCAGCGTGACTGCTCTTCTCTCCTCGAGTACGATGATGTCCTCGCTGAAAGGAACGGTAGAAGTTGACACAGATTCCGTAGCGAGTAATTCCCGAGTCCTTGTCAGTCAGGGTGAAAACAAAAGAGGAGTCATCGCGAAGGCTGACCCTGCGCTGGCGTATACTCAGGCAGCCCTCCGGTTGGCAGAAGAAAACCACGTCTGGTGGGAGCGGAAAGTCTTGGTGGTCCTCCAGTGGGTAGCGTCGGAGAAGCTGAGGGGTCTGGGCCACACTGTCACTAGTAGGTTGCCTGGAGGTTAAATGGCAAACATTTGTCAGCAGTGCCCAGAATTATTGCTTAATGTGTTCTTTGAGCACATTACAACTAATTCCTGATGCAACTGAAACTGAGTTCCCATCACATGTTAAGTGGGGAGCCTAAAATCCATTACATGAAACATCAAAATATCAAATCAAGACATTAGTGTATTTATGTGTCAAATGTGAGCGAGAGCAAATATGAGAAAAGAATGTAAAAGACATCAACTTCTGTGCTCTCACCGTCACCTGCTTTCTGTTCAAACCCTTTTTCTTTTCTTTTCTTTTTTAAACAACAGCCAATTTGAATAAAGCTGGCTTAAGGGGAAGAGGGAAATATGCTAAAACAGCTTGTTTCAGACAGTGGAGGAACTGAGGGGCTGCACCAACGCCCAATACAAGATACATTAAGATTATTTTTAAATTGTGAAATAACCAAAGCTAATCTAGCAGAGTATCTGAGGTGTAACAGGTTCCCTTTAATATGAAAGACATAAAAGGAAAGACAAATTTCATAAAGGAAGAAATGGAAACCACAGAGTTCAAACAAAAACATTGAAGAAAGCCTCGATAGTATTTCTGTGGTTACAGAAGCAAATGTGTAACCAATTTAGCATTTCAAACTGAAGTGTTTGAACTGTTTGGAAATCTGTGCAGAGGAAGTATGAGGCAACAACATTCCATCCAATAACAACTCTGAAATTGTTCTTAAACACTTAAATCACCAACCGCTCAAATAAACAGACACAGTAACTGAGAGTCCCCTCTGATTTCACTGTATTATGTCAATACTTTTTTTGGCCCAGTCACTATGCTTGAAAAAATATACTACTTTTCTTCATTTTTCATAAGGGTTGAGCTGTTGTATAAACACCAAAGCAAAAACATAAGCTGTGAAATCATCAGATTTCAAGGTTGCAGTTTTCCAAAAACCTTCAAACACTGCAAGGGTGCACTCAAAAGTGCTGATAATTTTCAACAGAGTAAAAATAGAAGATGATATAAAAACCAAGAGGTCTACTTTGTATGCCTATTATATGTCAAGACACTAAAGAAAAAAGTATTAAGGTTAAAGGGTAGTGGGTGCCATGTCTGCCTAAGGGCTTACCTTGCTCCAACCACTACCAAGTAGTCGAGAAGGCGGGGGCACATTTTCTTTTTCTCCATGTTGGACAGACCATGTCCTGTATGTCACAGCATCCAGGATATACGTCGCCTCTTGAGTTAAGGGTACCTTTCCATCACAAGTGACAAAGCTCAGGTGTATACTTGAAATGCAGCTCCTTTACTATCATTATGATGATTCGAAAAAAAAAAAAAAACCACAAAAGAAGAAGACTGGGTCCAATCTGTAACACACAAAGAAGAAGAAGAAAATATATATTATTGTACGTTTTTATGACCACAATATAATAAGCTTGTGTCTGCACAATGAAAGCACCTGGTGCACATACTGGATATCACCAAACAGCAGCGTAATTTTTCAGAGTTACAAAATGGGGTCAGATTGGGTTTTATGATGTATAGTTGTGACTTTTCAGTAAATGTCAAACTATAATAAAGTATAAATCCACTCAGCTCTGCAGCATTCTCCACTTTTCCTCTATGTACAATATATATATATATACTACCTTTGTCCACAACAACTCTTCACAAGGCTTTTAACCCCACACAACAGCAGAAGTTTCACGTGGAGGTGGTTTTATGATGGAATAAAGCATTTGGAGCCTTTTCAGTTAAAGAGCAGACAAAGAACTGCATTGTTCTGTCCTTGTGGTATTCGAACAAATAACAATTACCAAGACAAGGAAATGCTTTCTGATATTACCAAATTTCACAAGACATCATACTACTATAAACAAAGAAACAAAATGCAAAAAAGTGTGTGGATATGTGTTTATAGGGTATATGTTGGACATTAAGACGACATAGGAAGAAGAACCACAAAAACCTATAAACAGAATTGTTGGAGATTAAAACTTATAATTTTGGGTTAAATTTACATAGACATAACTAAAGAATCACTCTAAACATATTAAAAAATATTACTTGCTGCACTTTAGAGTTGACAATAATGTGTTGCCTGGTTGTTTTTGTTGGAGGGTAAGGAGAGGTAAGTAAGCAGCTTAGGGGCCTTGGTGGAATGAGCACACTTCACAGCTTGGACTTTGTCCAGCAAACTAAACCAGCACCTCTACAGATGGCTATTAAACACCAGGAAGCCTCTTGTAGCTCCAGTCTAGTTCCCTTATCGCGACAACAGACAACTTAACATTCATATTAAGGCAACATACAGTGCATGACTACAGTTTAGCGGGCATTCCCTGACACAATAACAACACCATCTCAAAATATTAGTTGAGTTGCTTTTGTGAGAATAACTTTAACATGAGCAGCTTTACAAACAGGTGCACAAGCTCTGGATCTCCTCTTGTAAAGTAATGACAAAGCACTGGCCACTAAATACAAAAGAAACAAGTCAGGGCCAGGATTATGTTAAGCTCAACTCTTAAGACTTTTCTGAAAAACTATTTAACATCCCCACAGCCATGGCATTTCATGCTATTTTCAGCAATAATTTATGCAGCTATATGATCTGCTTTTTAGAGGAACTCACTCATGTTCTATAACTTACAAAATCTCTGTGTATTTATTTCTTTGTCTCACAAATCCTCCTACATTAGGATCAGGAGTTCAGCAACCAGCCTCGGCACACAGCTACATCTCAGGCCCTGACAGCTCTTATCAATAGTTATTATGATGATGTCATCACATCGCCTTGCAATCACCTAGCGACAAGCTCAGATAACCTTTTTTAAAATGCCTTGCAAAAGCACTGAATCGTTTTTGTTTCACAACAGTAACATTAATTTATATTCACAAAACTTCACTTATGCATCATACAGTATAACGCCATCATGTTGCCTTGCAACCACCAAGCAATGAACACATATTTATCTAACTTGTTATAACCATCATTTTACAATCATTTGAATTTTACAACCAACACCACAAACTGGTCAAACTATACTGTAGCATGGGCATGTACTAGTTAAACAAATAACAGCACTGCCGAACATGTTAGTAGTTATGACACAATCAGGACAACCCTCATGGGAAGCACTTGCAGGTGTAACCAATAAACTGGAAGCCCACAAGAAAGAAAAGAACAGCAGTGAGATCCCCTTAAAACCACAAGACACAAATTGACAATTTCAGTGCCATGCTCAACTTTTCGACTTGTAGCTTTTCAGTGTGAATATAATCAGAGCAAAACCAACACGCTGACATTCAATTCAAAGACTATAATGTGGCTGCAGTAAAACTACAGTGTGAAGTATCTCTTTTTCCTCCCAAAACCATCAAACATTACAAAATTACTGCTCTGCTTTTTGTTTTTCTGGAATAAGCAGCAAAATCAGAAGCTTAAAACACCTCAGAGGAAAACACCATAACTGCTAATGTTCACATCAGCTAATTGCAAAAAACAAAACCACAGTAACGTGATCTACTTGAGTTATCATGCGATGCCAAACAGCATTTACTCTAAAACGAACAAATACTACAGGAGGCCATGCTACTGAAACCCCACCCTGAAACACAAACACTCAGGACCCAGAGCAGTTTCTCACTGTCACTTAAAGGCTGTTATCCAACAACTGATAAGCTGAAGGAGCTTTAATTTAGTCAGTGGTTCATACTGCATCATTGATGCATTCCCACTGAAAAGCTAAGACCAGGATTCTTTTCTAAAAGCTTAAGATAATCTTACAATGACCACACCTCTATCAGTGCAATTATTGCAAAAAAGATTCAAACTTCACATTCAAAAAAAAGACCTGATTCATAAGGACTGAAGGATGAATTACTGAAGTCTAACAAGCAGCAAAGCTTGTGCACATCTATGAAAATATGCCAATTTCAAAGCAGTTCCAGGAGTTGCTTTTGAATTAAACAACATGACCGCATCTACTCCATCACACAGACATATGAGAAGCAGTATATCCTATGTCTGACAGAACCCGTGTTGCTTTGTTCTTTTCCCATGCCGTTTGGACTAGTTACATGTTATAGACTCCATAGCTTTAACTATAGAAAACACTTCTGACCTCATTTGACTCTTTCTTCAAACAGGAAGCCCACAGTCCCCCTAAAGACTCATTTACACTTCCAGTTCTGTTTTCATGCTCAACACAACACTAGAAAGAGCTGTCAGAAACTACATCTATTACACTAGGAAAAAAGGTTTTGCTCTATGAACATTAAAACCGCAGCGACCTTCAGTGAAGTGACACCACACAGAATGCTTAAAATGAATCTGCACCAAATAGAAATAAATGCTGATATGAATATCGTGTTTCGATATGAGCGCTTGTGTGGTAGAAACAGAACAGACACACAACGATAACAGGGCAGACAAATGGACTGCATGTAAATCATGAGTGGGACACGATAGTCACACATTCTGACAAAGGTGGTCATTAACCCCCTCAGCCACAGAACTACCAGTGCGTGACACAGCTGTGTCCAGCGGACATTATTACAGAAGGCTTCAAACGCATTATAGGTGTAATTATGTCTAATAGCTCCACTTCTGAGCAGACAAGCTGCTCACAGAGGGACATGAACCATTAGAATTAAAGTATTCTTGATGCATGCTAAAATGTTCTAATGTTTTTATTTTTATTTTACATCAATTTGAAATTGAGTGAATGTTTAACACATTTCACTGAAACTGCAGTATTAAAACACTGATTCTTAAGCTACCACAGATACATAATACCTTCTTATGGTTTTGGGAAGCTTGACAGTGTTTAATGTGAACTTTCACCACACTGTTAAGTCCAAGAGCATCTGATGTGAGGAACCACACAAAGATGCAGTTCAAACAGGCCTGCCAAGTGGGATGAAACATGTCTTAGGAAGTCAGCTTAATGTTCACACTCATCACACTTGGTAAAGTTATTCAAATACCCTAAAAGCCTGACAGCTTTTTACTGACATTTGCACACTGATGTACAAGAAGGAAAAGTAAACTGTCACTTAACATTAATGGGTAAATGTGCTCTGAAACGGCAGTTTAAAATAAAAAAAATAATCTTTTCAGCTCAAGCTTTAAAAGATAAATAAAATACATGGAACAACTTCTACAAGGTTGGATAGCGGCAACAGCATAAACCTTGTCACAGCAAAGAAAAACTACAAAAAGGACAATTCAACAGGCCTATAGAGAATACAATGTAACAATTATCTCATGAAACCATCAGGAAAATGAACCTATACACAGGTCTGGCAGCCTGAAAGCTTCCTGGTACCAAGCCAAAATGGCTGTTTTATGAAGCAGTAGCACTGCAGGCAGACTCATCCAGCACAGAGACACTGGCTCACAACATTATTTTTAGATAAGGATGGCAGGACTGTGCCACTTCGCTGATTGTCTTTAATTACCGAGTGTGGTACTGATCCACTTTTCCTATCTCTAAAAACCGGGAATAAAGAATTATCACAACATTACAACAATCTTCAAAGGCTAGATAATGATGTACATTAACACAACAGATGAATCTCTTCAGAGTGGTCTGCAGGCAAGCAGTCACTTGTTATGTAAGCGTGGAGAGGAGACAGATATGATTCATGGGCCTCCAACATGGTTAACAGTCACAGTAAACAGCAGTAAGTACAAACAGAGAATGCTATCGAAATCGATCAGGTCAGCAAGGCCACACAAACAAGCCAGGGATAATGTGTAGCTTAAGAAAGTATTATTCTTAGGAGGCGATCGTGGCTCAGGGGGTTGGGAAGCGCATCTGCCGGTTTGATCCCCGGGCTCTCTGTCCTGGTCGTTGTGTCCTTGGGCAAGGCACTTTACCCTACCGCCTACTGGTGTTGGCCAGAGGGGCCGATGGCGCGATATGGCCTCGCTTCTGTCAGTCTGACCCAGGGCAGCTGTGGCTACAACCGTAGCATTCACACACTGGTGGAGACCAGTGTGTGAGAATAGTGGCATTGTAAAGCGCTTTGGGTGCCTTGAAAAGCGCCATATAAATCCAATCCATTATTATTCAATGATTATTCAATTGACTATTGGAGCTAGTGTATGGACATTGATTGCACTGTTTAACTCACACTTTAACACAATTTCACATGCAAATAATCTTGCCATTATTAAGAATGAAGGCTAGCTATTCAGTTATGTTAAAACTTTATTCCTGAAAGTTTATAAACCCACCCAAAACGAATATGTCCAATGCTGACAGGAGACTTCGGGGATCTTTTTGCCGTTCACCTCAGCACCTCAAAGACGGACGGAAGGTGCCTGATTCCCTGAGCCAATCCATACCTGTCACCAGCAAGAAATACTGGCCTGCCTGTGGGACCACAACATCCTTCATTTGCAATGCCTTTTAGCCCACTGTCATTCGCCCAAACACTGAAATGTTGCCATAACCAGAAACATCACATTAACACACGTTCACTGATTGTATTGCAAAAGCACAAAATAATAATAGTCCTTAAAATTTTGGTTTAATATGATAGCTATTTTAACGGTGAAATCTACATAAAGCCTGGGTTTATTCTCTCATTCACCTAAATGTCGTCATATCAATAAAGACATCCATGACAGCAAATAAAAAAGACCGTTGAACATTATGTCCCAGTCACCCTCAAATCATCTTTATTAAAATATGTTGACGTATATCTTAAATTTCTGTACATATTAACATACTAAGTATCCACATGAAAAAAAAATACTCTTTCTTCGATGACGAAACCGTGCTAATGTTTTCACACGTTAGTACCCAACGTAATGTCGCAAGCTAATGTGAACATTGTGTCAAATTATCCAACTGTTAAGCAATGCTTCAGGCGTGATGACGGACTTCACAATGGCACCCTATTTCAACAGAAAACCGTCACGGGTTGCGATTGCAGAGCACAAATCCCGCATGACTAGCCTGTCTGGGTGTGTAGTCTAAATTTTACTGGAACCAGTTGAGATTAGCCATGGTGAGGACGTATGCCAAGAGGAAGGTAACATTAACAAACAGCACTTAGAACAAATCTGATAAGGCAATGTCAGCGCCTCCCAGCTCAGATACAACCGTCCTTGGTGCACGGTGGTAGTGCTGTCATTTTTTTATATTATATATATGGATAAATATTTCAAACAGGCTGTCTGGCTTTGATTCATCCTAAACATTAACGCCAAGGAAGCATCTTCTCACCCCTCCTCTGCTAGCCGTATGCTTTCCTACGTCACGAGTGGATTAGCTAGCAAGCTAGCTAGCGAGCTGCCTAGCTACCACCAGTACGTTAGTCTCATACACAGTACACCTGTCAAACGTAACAAACGCAATGACACTGTTGAGAACACACGACACATATGCCCGAATGCGTTCACGGAGCACAGGCGTTAATGGGAATAACCTTACCTACGTTAGCCGGTTAGCCGCTAATGCTCGCTGCCAAGCCAGCCAGCTGCCGATGACGGCCTGGATGGTGGGAGCTCTCCTCGGTCACGGCGGAGAGGCAGCGATGTTTGTCAGAATTCAATCCTTCTTTTATCATTGAAAACATCGAGCGCGGACAACCGCTGAAAAGGTTAGCCACTCCGTTTGAGTGTCCCGGAACATAACAAATTATGCGAAATACGTGTCCGCCTGCCTGCTCAGTGAAACGTGTGGCTCGGTCAGTTACAACCTGCCTTCACAACATCCTCCTCCTCATCATCATCAGCAGCACTAGAAGCCTGCAGGGAGTTCCGCATACTGAGAGGCCGAGCTAACGGAAGCGACAAAACAAAACGGACAAAACCCACCTAATGCTCCCAACTGGGGATCGTTACCATTGGTTCACTCTAAAAATCTATTTGTACCATTTCCCTGCGTTTTATCGCGCAGCAGGAACGCCGGAAGCCATTTGGGTCCCCATATTTATTTTTTGATAAGCCTACCACCCTTACATTATTTATAATTAACTAAAGTTAAAATGACCAAAAAGTGATTAAAAATAATCCAAATAAATTTTAACTGTATGGATTTTAGTAGGCTACTTGGTTTAACGCAATGATAAAGAAATTTAGTTGGGTTTTTTTTAAGTGAAATATGTGCTACATAACCCCAAAAGTTTCTTCAATCAGCCAATCTGATGACAGAGTACTTCATGCTGACTCTAGAGCAGTAGTGTTGAATAATCTGTCAGTAACCCGGGGCAATTAAAATGTCTCCAGATCATTCAAAAAGTGGAATTTGCATTTCAAAGCTCTCGCTTTGAACACCCAGCATGTGTTGCTGAGAATGAAAATGAAACGGTACATGTTGAACATCTCTATCAAAGATAGCATTAACCAAATTAATGGTTGGGTACATTCAGAGAGAGAAAAGCTATGAGGTCAGCAACATAAAAAGGCTTGAAGATCTACTGAAGACAAACCAGAACTGCACTGAACGAGTCTCATCCACCTCTCAATCCATTACAATTAGCAGGTTATTCCTTGTAAAACAGTAAATGTGTGGTTGAGCTAAGAACCTGAGATATCTGCAGCATTACCACAATATACATATACACAAAAATAGCTATTGCTCTTTGATTACAGTACGCACACTAGAAAATAATAATAAAGTTAATCATATTCCCTCTGTGAACCGAAATGGTATACAACCAAGGGGTAAGGTGGTAAATTAATAGTAATATTACAGAAGCTATTTTTAGGTCCTGCAAGCATCAAACCAAAACCCAAAATACAAAAATTCACATTTTGTTAAAAAGGGACCTAAAGGAAAGTTTTCCATAAGCATTTCACCGGTTTGGTTACACACTCCTGCATCCGTTCTTGTCTTAACCTGCTCCTTATTTTTTAAATAAATAAAACACTATATCAGAGATTGATTATATGGATATCAACAAAATCCAAATCTATAACTAAATTTTAAGGATGAATATAGTACATGGTCAGAAATGCCAGGACACCACCATCTTTTCTGTGCCTACAGAATGAAAAAAAATTGGCATAGCTGAAGTTTGCTTCCTGATGTTAGCTGCTGTTCCATTCTTCTTCTGGCAGGAACAAACCCTTATGGATGGCCTTTTGTTAGACGTTTCCCACAAGCAACTATTAAGTAAGAAAATCCTGTCACTAGGTTTTCCACAGCTATTCTAACATCTTAAGAGCACCCCACTGTGAATACTGTAAGGAATGTGGCTGGACAAGCATTTGCATTTATTCAGCCAACCATTAAGTAACGTTTACTGTTTTACCATTTTACACATTTTCTTAACGTTAGGCTGTGTGAGACATTTTAAAATCAGTTTTCATCCAGCTTGGTCAAAGATGCATGAACCAGGCTAAAGGATTGTATCATTAGATCATTTAATCAGCATGGTGAAACATAAAAGTCAAGTTGTCATAGAGGCCACGTCATAGACGATGTCAAAGGCAAATACAAACTAGGGAGTTAATTTACCAGTTAATTATTGTCATCACTATTTTTTTTAAACCATCACTAGAGTTGTCATTAATTTAGTATATCAATATATCATTTTCACACAAGACATTCTTACATGTCACAGGCAGGAAAGCAAAAAAAAAAAAATTAAATTAAAAATAAAGTGGAAAATAATATTGTCAGTTTCGGGGTTCCCGATGCTGTGCATGGTGGTTCACAGGAACACTTTAATAAACAAAGCCAATTTTATTAAAAGCATGAGCTGAACATGGGAGAGATAATCAGTTTAAGCTAATATTATACAATACAGACATGTTGGTCAATATGGCGATAAAGTTAAAAAGCAAAACAAAGGGTCATTTTGGTTACACAATCCAAGCTTAACAACCAAAAATTCAAATAATTAAACATCAAGTCCACCAGCAAGTGCTTTTGGACAAAAATCTAATGTGCAATAAAGTGAATTTTGAAGAATCTACTTGTGCCTGTGTGACATTTGTGTAGCAGGTGTAGATGCCCCATTTAAGCAGCACGTTAGCCGTCTGATGGAATTTATTAGCTAAAAGGTCCCCAAAAACATGCTAAAAAAAAACATGATTCTGGACGACCTCCCGGCTGAAATAATAGAAGTTGTTTGTTAGGGCAGAGCAAACTGCATTTTACATCTACAGTTATTGAGAAATCTAACCTTGACATCTTGTAATGGCTACAGAGGTAATTAAATTACTGTAAAACAGACTGCAAAGCCATTAAACTGTCCCAATTTTCAGCCGTCTTCACTCAACATAGGAAGAGAAAACAGACTTCACAATTATGGATTTCCATTGGCAGTCCTTTATCATCCATTATGCAGCATTTCAGTGTTACACCGCACAGGACAAGGCATGGGAAACACAGCAATAAGAAAAACATATATATCTCTAGTAAAGTAGTTCTTTCCTGTTGATTCCTGCTCCCTGTTAATAAAGATTTTGGTACATGTTTTTAGTGAGGTTTCCCAAAATCTGACCGGTTAAAGCTGTTGATGTTGAGTACCCATTCAAGGAAGATACTCACACTATTACAGACCTTTAGATCAAGTTAGCTTTCTAACTAGAAATTCAGCTTGACATTTATTGTTCTCCGTATTAGTTACATAGTAGATTATCAAAAATAAAATGTCACAAAACGTCTCCTTTTCTGCTCAAACATTTGACACACTTTTAAATGCTAGAGCGAAATCACAAAAGTACATTTCACTTACACAGTTACAAAGATGGTGTTAATCAAGCCAATACTTTTCATTTATTTGAGAATGCAACTTTGACAGAAAAGGGGTTTTCCTCATTGGGGAAAACAAAAAAAGGCTCAGAGACATGGTAGATTGACTTTGCCAAACTGAAATTTCATCTTTCCTTACATCTTAAAGACAATACCGCCTGTATTTCAGGGTACCATTGCACTGAGTAATAAAACAAAACAAAACACACCATTTCCTGTGAAGGGCCCAGCCTACTAGTCACCTGCAGAGTTGTACTTTCTTGTGCGTTAGCATGTGATTGTACAATCTTGAGGATAAGCTTTGCATTTTTTATTTTTAATGTAAATAAATATACAATTTACACTAACTGTAATGAGCTTCTATAAACGACCAAAAAGGTCCCTTATTCATCTGGAAAAACTAAAGTAAATCTATTAAACTAATAGATATTAAAGAAGCCTCCAGTTCTCAGAGGTCTACTTCACATTACCTGAGCAACTACACCAGCTTTTAACTTTTGTACTTACTCCAAAGGGAACAAAAATCTATTTGCTGCCATATTAAAATGCATATTATGTATCAACCAAATGGCCTATATTTTAACCTAATGTCAATAAAGTGAAAAGCTGTCGTGGGTCTGATTATGCCCATCTTTTCCCCGTTCTATTGCACAAATGCAAATATCACCATTTTAACTGAATGTGTGACTGTAATCCATACATTTGAAACAGCCACAGCCAAGACCTGCTCAGTTCCTGTTGATTATTATTGTTAGAGGAAAAGGATAAAAACCACACTAGAGATTGACAAAACGTTCAACAAATATTAAATCAGAAATAACTGGCTAAAGAGCCGAATGCTGGTATTTAACCACAATCACGTCAGTATCTACATGGAAGAAGAAAAACAAAACAAAACAAAACAAAAAAAGCAAGGTTCAAAGAAAAGTAGGCATTCATGTTCCTCTTAGGAACACAAAGCCATATAGCAGTCTGAGAGCAAAGGGCAGCATTGCTCTCCCTTCCCCATGAAAAAGAAAACAACCAGTCCTTGACAAGATCGTAAGAAAGGAGTCAGTGATCTTGCTGGATGCAATGTCTGTCTCAGGCTTAACAAAGCCACGGAGTGTGACATCAAGTTTGCAGTCACTCATTGACGTCCCAGATTTCAGATAGTAGCGGGGGAAGCTTCTTGTCCTGGAGGCGAAGGGCAAAAACCTGCTCCGAGTGGACGCTGCTTAGTGTACGAAGGCTCACCAGCTTCATCAGCATGCGGGGGAACATCAAGTGATCCTAAGAAAGTTCATTTAAAAATAAATGAATAGTTTTCAAAACGCCTTTCAAAACACACAATCACTTCACAATATGTGTGTGAAAACACACAAATACCTATTATCAACTCAGCTGATAATGTATAATTGTTGCTGTTTTTAGATAACAATATGTGGTCTACATTTGATTCCTTTCACCACTCAGCTTTATCTAGCACACAACTGCTCTTCTAACAGTTCAAACCCCCTACAAGTCGCAACAATACAATATGACCTTAGTCATGACCTAATGTGCTTGTTGTGATGATGACAGCCTGATTATACTGACGTTCAGTCTGTAACAGAAGAAAAAGCTACAGATATATCTGGCGCTTACATTTGGTCTCTTAATCATGATATAAGAGCGCAGTGCATCCACATAGGGCTGTTGCAGCCGCTCCACCAGATCATGATCTTGCACATTTGGCCGATCTGAAAGCAAATATACACACACACACACACACACACATATTAATCTCTCCTGTTTATTTATGGAGAAAAAAAACGATCTACTTTGGTAAAATGCGAAGAAAGCTTTCTGAGGGGAAAAAACGCTCAATCTGCAAATGCAAACAGTTAATTTCTCCCTCAGAACTAAAAAGGGAAGGATTAGTTCTCGAAGCATTTTCACTATGAGAAGGGTGTGTAGTTTATAAATACTGACCTGCAGAAAAGATGTTGATAGCAATGAGCAGAGCATATTCGGCCTCGTCCAGGTGCAGGTCATTCATTCCTTTTGAAAACTCAAAGATGGGGTTGATGAACTCAAACTGAAGCCCTGAGGAGGTAAGAGTGGAGAGAGGAGGGAGGAAATAAAATGTCATGTTACAAATTG